AATTTGCAAATACTCTCAGACACCAGTAAATGTAAATATATTATTGCCATTAAGTATATTTTAAAGTTCTTAAAGTTTAAAAATAACTGATTCTATTCGAATACATTTTAAAATATCATGTATTCCTGTGATTGCAAAGCTGAATTAATTCTAACATGTTGATTTGTTATTTTACAATACAGTGCAATCACTCTGTTATGGATTGCATGCTAGACACACATTTGTGGAAGGATGGCATTTAGTGAATTTACCTAATAAAATGACATTTTGATATTAAAAAAAAATCATTTCTGCAACCTAAATTATGTCCACTATACAGCACAGCTTCATATTTCATTACTTGATCACAGAATGACACATATTTTTACCCTCACTTTTACCTCTCCTGTTCAGCGGACTACATTATTCAATTTATTTAGCTTTTGAAAGTGAAAGCCTATGACCATTTCACCCTGAAGCTACACTGACCAGGCTGTCGGACATACGACGACTCAAAGTGTGAACTGCTCCAATTACGCGGCCTAGTGAGCATGGCTGTCAGAGCCACAGGGCTGCTTATTTAAAATGACCAGAGCAACATCAGTCAGAGAACAGCCACTACAGACAATATCAACTCTAAAGATTTAGAGCCTGTGTCACAAATCTGAGGTCATTTCCTCCAAACCAAACTGGACTGGAAAAAGCTTACTATATGGGCCAGGGTTATAAACGCATCTGCTGTAGTGAATCGCTAGTGACTCCAATGAGATCTGGCAGCTACAAACATGTTCTATCAGGATTAATTACGGATGTTACTCAAAATGAGGGAAAACAGCCCTTAATTTGGATTGTGCAACAAGCTGCAACTCGAACTAGTCTTTATTTAAAATCCAGTAATTGAAGCTAAATCGCAAAGCCCTCGAAAATGAGGCAGGGATGCCGATACAGACTCTAGGTGAGTGATTCCACCCAGCCATATTGCACGAGTCCTTGGGAGAGGCCTCCCTCGACAGACTCAGTTTGTAACTGTCAAACGCTCATGATCTACAGCGCTGGGCTTCAAGCCAGCAGATGGTGGGAGAAATTAAACTTGTGACATGGACCGTTGACTGACTGGAGCCGGGGAAGCAGTTGGAGACCACACCTGTAAAGCAGAGGGGGTCTGCGTGCGATGCGTGAGAGCGCTTCCCTGGAATGTGCATAAGCAAATGATGCTCTTCCAGGAAAACTAAAAGTTTCCATTCAGGAAAATGAACTTTCATTCAGGTTCAAATTGAGAAGCTTATTGTAATGAAACACACAGTTGATGACACATGGTGTCAGTAACATGGTGGGCGCTACTGATCCAGATTAGTCTTTGCCTTTACTTGACTAGCTGGAAAAATAAAAATGTAAAATACCAGAAACAAATGATTTTCATGGCATTTGGTGCCTATGACAAATCTAGAATCTGCATTGTTCCATCGACGCGAACAAAACAAGGCCTCCTTAAAAACTTTCAAGAGTGTGATTCATTGTTTCTTGTGAATACTTTGCAGCGGAAAGACTTTTTTTTTTTTTACACTTTTTTTCCCCACATATGTGCAACACGTGACATGTTTCACAAACTGAAACTAGTAGATAAAAACAAAAACACAGAACTAAAAATAAGTGAACAAGTAATAACCTTTTGTTGTTTTTTTCCCAAGAATTGTAGAACATAATCTGATCTGATAAGAACTGAAGAAACTGCTGCTAGTGAATGCAATTTGATTCATTTTCCAATAATTGTTCATTCTTTCTTCCTCGAAACTACAAAAAAATAATTATTAATGGAATCTGAATCAGAACAACAAGTGAACTAAGTCAAATCTGAATCAAAACTACAAATATTAAATTCCTTACAATTCCCATCCCAACTCGTTACTAAATTGCTAATTCAATATTCATTCACTGACAGTGAGTAATGTTTAGCAATTACATTGTCAGGTTTGAGCCACTTTGATAGACAAGAGCTCCAGGAGTTTTGTAAGCATACCCGTAGAGCTTTTGAAGATGATATCTAATGAGGAAACCGCATCCTCAATGTACAGAAATATTCTACCGAGCCATCATTTAAAAGCATTCCTGTGGGTTTAGAGGACATTGGGAGTTCTAATTCCTCACTATGTGACACGCAAAAGCATGTACATCATCATGTCAATATGAGACAAGACAAGACCATAAAATGCACCGGCCAAAAATGAGAAGAACTCTTTTTTTTTTACCATCTGGAGTTGACGGTAGGAAAAGTTCTGAGGCAAATGCACCCAGAATTATACCTTTTGATTGTGATTTAGCGGATGGAATGAAAATCATTAAACCGAACAATGCAAAAGTACATGTAACAAACTGCTTTGCATTCAGTCTTCGCTGCAGTCCTTGAGTGTCAGTAATGTCAAATCTCTCCACTACAGAGAAATGAGGAGCACAAATGGGGTGCAGCTAGACGAAGTCATTATGAATTCACACAGAGGCCCATGTTGGCATCCGCACAATGTGATTACAACAGAGGCATGGCAAATTTTTATTCAACAGGCAACAGCTGTGAGCAACTAACGCCCACAACCTTGGTGCAAGTGCAGCCTGGAAGTTGAAATTAAACCTGCTGGTATTCCTCACGACGTGTAGTGTGTGGCGACATGTGAACCCTGAAGCTGTGTTAGGATGCATCAGTGGCCCTCTAAGGAAAAGGACTTGTTCACGCTTCTAGAGCAACCATACAAATCATAATCACAACAGAAATGCTCTCATAATTGCCTTCTGTTTAAATTGGGTCCAATTATGTTAAGTTCACATTAATTGTTTAGCAATATGATTCAAGTAGCTAATTAGAAAGGCAGAAGCAGTGACTCATATTTTCCTAAGCTGTGTGCGACCAGATAAACTCAGGTGGGAGTGATTCCTGTGACTGAAACAAGTTCTAGCACATTAACACAAGTCTGTAAACCAGGTCATTCAACATTAAGAAGTTTAACTCTCTTAAGTACATAATGGCTTGCTGTTTGAGAGATACGGTCATTTTTTTTTTCCTTCCACCTTGCAAGATTCAACCGAACCAAACCAAAACGGAAAATAAAACAAAAAAGCAAAACACACACATAAAAAACAACACACAAAAAATAAAGAAGCAAAACACAAAACAAACAAACTTTATACTGCTTAAGGTTGCTTTTATGTTTAACTTGCTTTTACATGGCTCTCTGAAATACTATTCTAATTGGTCAATCATGCGATAACTGCTTTCCCACATGACTGTGCTCACTTCTCTCATATCGCTTTACATATTGTTCTCTCAATTTAATGTTAAATGTCAGTGTTTATGTTGCCATAATGACTGGCTGACCGTATAATGTGAAATACACCTTGGTACTGCATGATTATCATATTCATACCATCTCTGTTCCAAGAAAATGGCCAAAGAAACACTGTACCTATTGGATTTAAAGCAGTTTAAGCACCACAGTTCCACCCGGGTTGAACAGTGATCAAAATCAATGTGTTATATTTCAGCCTAATATAATTTCTATGCGTTTAAGATGAGGTGATTGCATCTCTGGCAGAGATTCCCAAGACCCTCCAAATGTGCCGCAGAGGACATCCTTTAATAAGTCATTAAAGAACATCATTATCATTCAGCTTCTCCTTTGTGCTGGTCTTTCAGCATTGCTGTAGGACACAAATGATGCATTGCTTGCTATGAACAGTGAGCTATAAATAGAGTTCATTCAGTCCTGCAGGATCCTGTGGGCGTCCAGCTTATCCACTTCACTGTGGAAAGCAGCTAAAAGAGCCAAACTGCCTGCCTTCAATATGGCACCTCTCTCTTCGTCTTCCTCTCTGAACAGGGCCAGAGGACTCAACATTCATCAGATGATTTCTTCATTCGAGGCTTCTAATTTCAACCAAATGGCCTTGGTCTGCTCGTACACAGAGGTGAAAAATAAGATTAAAAGGGATTACACTGTGGGCACGCGTGTAATCCCAAACACATGGTGCTGGGGTGGGTCAGCCGTTACTACAAGGAATTCTGTGGGATATTTTAAGATATTCATTTCAATAGTGGCTGAATTGTCGACATTTCATCACATGCTCATGTTCCAGTCTCATGCTTCAGGCTTATTTCTCAGCACATGAATATATCGATGACTTACATGCAATCCAGGGGGCAATGGAAATATGGGTAAGGGGGTTATTCTTAAAATGAGGGCTCACAACCTAAAATGCTACTATTGACGCAAGACACTATATAAACTATGATCATGAAAGAAACCATCTGTCAAGACAATCAATGTAAATGTAAAATCAATCGACAACCGCTTTGACTAATAATAAATCTTTATAAACATTTTTATAAAAGGCCACATTGGTGCTGGCAGTGTGTAAATGTGCATTTCGTTTTTGTTTTGTTATCTTTACAAATGTATTAATTTTACAATCCACTAGCCATTCCAATGATAAAATACTGAATAATAAAAATATAAAAACATAATTTTATTTTATAAGCAACATTTTTATAATTAATAATTTTATCACTTGTTATGAAAGTGAAAAGTGAAAGTGACGTGACATGTGGCCAAGTATGGTGACCCGTACTTGGAATTAGTGCTCTGCATTTAACCCATCCAAAGTGCACACACACAGCAGTGAACACACACACACCGTGAACACACACCCAGAGCAGTGGGCAGCCATTTTTGCTGTGGCGCCCGGGGAGCAGTTGGGGGTTCGGTGCCTTGCTCAAGGGCACCTCAGTCGTGGTATTGAAGGTGGGAGAGAACACTGTACATTCACTCCCCCCACCTACAATCCCTGCCGGTACGAGACTCGAACCCGCAACCTTTGGGTTATGAGTCCGACTCTCTAACCATTAGGCCACGACTTCCCCGGCTATGGCTATCACTATCCTGTCCAATTAAAGGCAAAAGCTCATGCAAAAAAGCAGGAATTTATGAAATACCGGTCAAATCAAGGGCCATCAAATGGCAACAGGGGTGTCTTACCTTCCAGCACAGTAAGTTTGGCACTGGTGTTGATTTCTCCCACACTGTTGGTGGCTGTGCACTCATAGATGGCCTCGTCCCTGTGAGTACGTAGCGGCTGTATGCGGAGAACTGAGCCCGAGCCATCATCAAATTCAATCACCTGAGAAAGAAAGACACACTGTCAAATATTTTTCTCTCCTCTCGTCTTAAATTTACGACAAACCTTCAGACAGATCGTATATCATATAAAGAGCGGTGGTGGGTCTTTAATCACCTCCCTCTGAACTTTCAGCCAAGTACTGTCTTGAGCTATTCTCTTGGAACTGCCACGTCTATCCAAGGCGGATATTGTGACAACTGTTGATGGGATGGGCTCATTTTCTTGTGTATAAAAAAACAAAAAAAACAAACACAAATTTCAGCCCTGCTGGGGTGCTGAAGACCTAAAATCAACAAGGTGTGTATGGGGCTAGAACAGGATACTTAAAGAATAGTTCAGAGATTATACATTTAGTGCATTTAGGCTGCTGTGTTCTCCTCCCACACAGAGATCTACATCGCCTCATTTCGGTAAAGAACAGGGCTAGGCAACATGGTTGAAAAAAATCTCTCAATATATTTTTACAATATTTGACAAAGCAGCTCCATAACATATTTGGACACTGAAGCCAAACCTAAAATGTACGGTATTATGACAAATGTTTGTCAGATACCAGTTGGTTTGACATTTTTAGATGTGTTTTAACCCCTTGACTGTCACCGTCCCACCTGTGGGACGCTTGGCACTCTTTTTCTTGTTGTCCTTTTTCTCTATCAAATCTTTTAGTAATCATCATAAATCATATATCATTTGAAAGCTTAGAAGCCCAAGATTCATCCTGTGAAAACCATATTGAAATCGGACATTGCGTTACCATGGAAATGGTACTTTAAAATCTTTTGGCGGTCTCCTGCCCCTTAGTGGGTGGTGTCAAGTGTCATATTACAAAATGCATTACGCTCTTTTACAATCAAAACTTTTTATAATCTTGACAACAAACATATCATTGGAAAGGTCTGAGTCTCAGGATTCCATATTTGGAGGAATTTATAATTAATTTCCTTATTTATTTTGAGATAGATGTAATATTGACAGATAAATCTAGACATTTGTGACAGAAAAATGCATTAAAAAAAATTTCAATGGAGTTTGGATGGCACACAAGAAAATCCCTTGGTATAACGCATAAACAAAATTGGATATGAACTTCAATTTTTTTAAATATCAACTTCAAATTTGGAACACAACTTATGTAGACGTATGGCTTTAATTTTATAGCAATTTTGTATTTTTAACTATTTTTTAAAATATTTATTTTATATAAAATAAAAGAAAAATAGTACAATACATTTTCTTTACAGTACATTTAGACTTCTATAACTTTTTAATACTTTCATTTTTTTTTTATTATTTAACTTCTGTAATAATCTGCTAATTGTCTTCTTTAAAAAAGAGACCAACCTTAGGTCTGTATTCAAATGCGTTCATGAATTATAATAATTTAAGTTTGGATAGTGCACTACCCGGTGGCTGTTTGTGGTATAACGCCCTAAATAAAATCTCACAGGAACCTCAATTTTTTTCATATCAACTTCAAATTTGGAACATAACTTATTTAGACATAAGGCTTTAATTTTATACCAAATTTAGAGTAAAACCTGTTATGTAAAATATTTATTATATATAAAATAAAATAAAATTAATATAGTGCATTTTCTTTACAGTAAATGTACCATAACTTTTTGATACTTTAATTACAATAATTTAAGTTTGGATAGTGCACCTGCATGCCTATTTTAAAAAATGGGGGATGACAGTTAAGGGGTCACTGTATTTATTTCTTAAATAAACATATAAATAATTTTTAAATAAATAAAATAAATATTTATTTCTTAGTAAATAAAATAGTAAGAAGTATTTTTATTACATAAAATGCAACAATATTTAATTATATATATTTTTTTGCTCCAAAACAAACAAACAATCACTCAACACTATTTATCTATTTTTGCAGTGAAAGTGTCCAAATACTTTGTTTGTTTGTAACCAAGTTTTTTTTTTTTTTTTGCTTAAAGCAGCCCTGTTCCCTGTTGAAAAATAATAAAATAATGGGGCTCCATACTGACCCTAAACCATCCCGAGGTCATCACACCTCTTTACATTTACTTCCGATCTCAGCTTAAACCACAACACAGATAGAACAGGAATTAGGGCAAAGGGAATAGAGGGACAACACAGAGGGGTGTGACGTGGCTGACGGCAACACAAAAGAATATATCAGCGTAAGAGCGCAAGAAGAAAAATAAGAGTGTTGCGCAAATGACTGACGATGGAAAGCAGAAAGGCATCATAATGATGTGGTATGGGAGAGACACTGACATGCCAAGGAGAGGCAGGGAAAGACAGTTAGTCACCTCAAAGCGCTGGGAGCTAACTTTCTTTCCTTTCTTCATCCATGTGATCCGAGGCTTGGGCTCACCCGCTGCTTGGCACACAAAGGATGCCACTCCTCCTGAAATCCCCGTCTGGTCCTCTGGAGATTTGATGAAATTTGGCAAGCCTTGAAAAGCGAGGTAGAAAGAAAAAAAAAACATAGAGAAAGAAAGCAGCCATTAGTTCCTGAACTGTGGTCGTGCAAAACCATGTTAAACTAGTTATGAACGGGGATCCTTCAGACTGGAACTAAGTTAACACCTGCAGCTGAGCCTGAGAGAAATGTTCCCCCTCAAGTCACCTAATACTTGTCAGAATGATCCATTCTCTGAATAACAGCTTATAGCTAATAAAAGCTACAGCTATAGCTAATAAAAAATAGACATTGTAACATTAATAAAAAATACTAGTGCTGTCAACTGACAAACATCAAACTAATCAAATATTTGACAAAAGTGACAAACAACTGATCAAATATTTGAGAAATGTTTTGTCAAAATTTTACAAAACATACAAAAAAAACCAGCTTTAAAAGTCAATGAGGCAGTCACAAGCAGCACGTTAAAATGTGTCAAGATAAAAATAGTTCAACATCTCGAGAACCCTGCATTATGTTCCGATGCACTCTGTCTAGTTCTGTCAGTTTAACTCATTCATTTATTGCAATTAATTATTACAAAAATTAACATGCTAAAAGATTAACTTTAATTGGTCACATTATTATTTAATTTAATCACACTGGAAGCCCTATAAAATAGACATTGCATACATTTAATTGTCAATATTTTTCCATATAATCACACAAAATGCAAGTGTTAACTTGACAGACTTAAAAAAAATACAAAACAGACATTGAATACATCAACTGTCTTTTTTTGTACATTAATCACATTATTGTGACAACCCAGGAAAACATATACATAAAATGTTTTTTTTTAATTTTTTATAATTAAATTAAATGAAGTGTTACGGTCTGGGATAACAGAAAATAAACAGTTACTATGACTCAACAGCCAAACATGGCCCCAAGAATTTACAAACACTCACACGTGGAGGTGAAAAGGAATCAAAACATTTCATTCTCTATTCAAAAGGAGGAACGCTGACAATAGTATGGCAAAGAACTTATGGCTAAATAACATTCAGGTTTGTTTTTAAACAGGCCAGTCGGAGCACGCTGCACCTCATGGTTTTTTGGCAGAGCAGTTCACACACCCTGCATCTTTGTCATGCATTTACAATACAAACAACAATGGGACATGTTTCATCACTGCTCAAACTAGGTAGGACTGTGCGAAGATAAAGACTCACACATATCGCCTGACTCATTTCAAACACGTAATGGCTTGTTTCAAAGAACATCGGTGCCAGATCAAGCAGAGCAAGACCATTTGGCAGAATTGCAGCTACTGCGCAACGTTCCGCGGAAATAGTGGGTGATGCGGGTGAAAGGTGAATCACACGGTAAAGCCAGATATAAACATCATGACATACAGATATTATCAAAAATAATACAAGCAACTCTTTGTAGTTGCTCTCACAAGGGTGGGAAATCATCTTCAAGGACAAGCAGGCCAGTGTTTGACCTTATAAGACGTGTACAAGGACAGATTTAAACATTCTGTTTCTAGAATGTGCACCAAGCAGTTTTTTTGATGTTCCTGTTTGCTAAAAAATAAAAAGGAGCTACATAATTTAATTATTATAATAATTATTAAATAAATAGAAAATGTATAGAAATAATAATGATAATATTTATTATTATTATTATTATGTTATAAAGTTGACAGTGTATCTCATTTTCTACCCAGCTATTAATGCAATTATCTATAAACCTGAGAAACACATTTAATTCAAATTTATCTTAATATCAAATTTATATGCAGTTTAACACAATGTATTTGCTTGCAAAATTCAGTGATCAATAAACAAGATTAAGGCAAGAGTGATGAGAAACTTTGGGAAAAAATATACAAATACAAGTTATTCTCAAATGTATATTCACTGCAAACAAATAAATATATATTTCAAATTTATTTTAGAAAATACACATTTTAGAAATTTGCTTTTAGATTTATTTTAGACAAAAACGTACTAAAACATCTGCATCACCCAATCAAGTAGGCTAATCAATCAATCAATCAATCAATCAATCAATTTGTAAACATTAAATATTATACTAGACATATCACTTGTATTACCCTTATACCATTCACTAATGCCATCAGATCAGAAACACAACCATATTGAATCTAACAGAAAAATGGACTCTCATCTGTAAATACTTCACCTGCATTAAATATAAAAACCATAAACTGGACCCTGAAAACCACTTTTAACCTGATCTCAGTTTATCAGTCCCATGATTTCTGATAATCTCCTTCATAAGGACGACACAAAAATCCATTATCACAGTGAAACATCTCCAGTGAACCACGGGACATGCTGGAATAGATCACAGTGTCCTAGTGGGTGGTCCACGGTGGGATTCTAATCCTCTCTTACTCAAGGGAGAGATAAATTACAGCAGTGTGGAGACTACATGCGGTAGTACATATGATTCTCTTGGAGGGAAGAAGCCGAGGGAATACGGTGCCGCCACAACGGTGTCCTTCCTCCTCTATACTTCGGAATCAGAGGGATAGTGCTGAAGAAAACAAAATCAATACCTAGTTAACATAACATAGCGCATACGGGTAAGGCGCATAAGTACTGACTAGCAGACTTTGAGTTTGTTAAATCATCAATGCAGTGTGCCAGGCGACTGGGGCTGCTCTTGCTCTAGGACATAAACCCACTGGAGCTGTATCTGAGAAGAAGACACCCACAACTGTGAGGCTGTTTGTGTGTATGCACCTGCATGTGTATCCGTTGTAAAATCTAAGCCAATGTGTACCACACCAGCACCTCTATGACCCACAGGAGTATTGGCTGGCCTGACATTTAAATGACATTTACGTGCTGGTTCCTCTAGAGACCGGTTTGATTGGCACCGCAGAGCAATGCATTCCCTCATAAAAGCCTTTCTGGCCACTTTTATTTTTGTTATACACACACAAAGGAGTGGAAAGGGAGTTTTGAGAGCTTTCGGCCTCCTCGTAGCAGCCATCATGGATAGCTTCTGGTAGTTTCATGGGTAAAACCCAACAAGATTCTCCAGTTACCTTGCTGGGAGTTTCCCAAGACATGGATACTTGGATGTGCATGTGATTTAAAGCTTGAGATTAGCGTCAGTTTGACATTCAAGAGTGCTTCTGTCATGACAATTCTATTAGATGTAGTCAGCATGTGGGTTTTCCCCCCATTGTTTACTAGCAAGGATCAGCGGATATTAACCCATCTGGGCACATGTTTTGAATTAAAGTGCATATAAACTTCTGAGAGTTTAGGCAGATGGGATGCATGAATGAACCACAGAGGTCCTGGGGAAAGACAGATAACAAGAGTGTAGACAGGCAGATAATTGGTTTGATCAATACTTTGATAAAAAAAATGTAAACTTTGACTCTAACAATGAATGTTCTTTAATAATAGCACTCAACAACACATTCTCACACTAAGTATTGTAAGTTTTGTTTGGATAATGAACATTTATACACAGCCTGAAACAAGGAGGAAAATACATCTACAACCATTTAGACTGCCCAAGAACTACAGACAACAACACTAATTATATTACTAATATTAAAGGGATAGTTCACCCAAAAAAAAATTTTTGATGTTTATCTGCTTACCCCCAGGGCATCCAAGATGTAGGTGACTTTGTTTCTTCAGTAGAACACAAACAAAGATTTTTAACTCAAACTGTTGCAGTCTGTCAGTCATATAATGGCAGTCAATGGGCTCCACGGCTTTGAGAGTAAAAAAAAAAAAACATACACAGACGAAACCAAATTAAACCCTGTGGCTCATGACGATACATTGAGGTCTTAAGACACGAAACGATCGGTCTGTGCAAGAAACTGAACAGTATTTATATATATATTTTTTTACCTCTGATCCACCGCAATGTCTAACTGTCCTGAGCGCGTTCACAACATCCGGCGCATGACGTCAAATAAATACGGTTGTGCAAAATATTTCACGTTGTCTGATGATATATCAAAATCGTCTCTTCCATTGTGATGACCTGTACTTCTAAATAGCTTTAGATCATGGCAGTGCCAGTGAACACGTCCACAATCTCTCTGCACTGCGTAAATAATGAGTTGTGTAAAACATCGCTTCCGCACATGTCTACTATCATAGATATGTATAGATGCCCTATTCGACTGCTCCAGATACGTTGATGCGTCCGCCATTTTGGAACGTATCGCGGCCCACAGAAACAGTTACTAATGAGGCATCTACTTATATATATCTATGTCTACTATGCCAGAGCACGCACGCAGACGTACACGTGTCGGATGTTGTGAACGCGCTCAGGACAGTTCGGACATTGTGGTGGATCAGAGGTAAAAAATTATATAAATACTGTTCAGTTTTTTGCACAGACCGATCGTTTCATGTCTTAAGACCTCAATGTATCATCACGAGCCGCAGGGTTTAATTTGGTTTTGTCTGTGTATGGTTTTTTTACACTTAAAGCCGTGGAGCCCATTGACTACCATTATATGACTGACAGACTACAACAGTTTGAGTTAAAAATCTTCGTTTGTCTTTTACTGAAGAAACAAAGTCACCTACATCTTGGATGCCCTGGGGGTAAGCAGATAAACATCAAATTTCATTTTTGGGTGAACTATCCCTTTAATACATTTAATACTGCTAATACTACTAATAATAAGAGTATTGTATCAACAATAATTATTATTGTTGTTATTCTTGTAATAATATGAATAATAATAATAATAATTATTATTATTATGTCAAAAAGATTTTGATTCTGCATATTGGTTATCAGACTCTTGCATGAAAACAATTTGCATCATTCATAAAAAAGGCAGTATTCATGTGTGAAATAACATCCTTAAGTTGTTAAATTAATAGAAGTAGTATCACTGTATCATTTAGTATAATTAAGATACTATTATAGTTGTTAATATTTTGAAGTAGTTTTTGTTTTTCTATTTTCAATTTTCATTTTAAAGTTTTAATAATTTTGTTGTTT